GCGGCCTGCTTGGCGCGCGAGGCAATTTCATTTGACCTGTGAGGAAAAAAAAAATGAAAAAAAAAAATGTAAAACATAGTTCAATGAATATATTTTTAGTATGCAATAAATAATATGCGGAAATACAATAAATAGCTCCAAAAATCGATCACTGGGTACTTTCCGTTCTATTCTTCACTGTGTACTTGTTAGAAACGCATTATGATTTAGAGGTTACCCCACTCAATCTAAATTTAAACCACAACACACAACTTAAATTACCATAGCAGCCCGAAGGATGTACAAAATTTATCATAAAAAAATTAAGGATTGCAGAGTCCTGATGCATGAGAAGAAGCCCATTGTTAGATCACAGTTAAACACAACTAAATTTAGATTATTTTGCAATACGTCTATTGGGTTTCATCGTCAATAACATTCGTAAGCAAACTTATTTTACATGATAATAAACTAGAAAACCAAAGAAAGTGCCTAAAATACATTTCGAGTGCAAAGAATTCAAGTCATACAGGACTCTGTATGCTGCCAGGTTCTGTCTCTCATTATTCCGATTTACAAAAAGGGTAACAAAAATAATCCCAGTAATTATAGGGGCATTTCATTGATTCAACTACTTGGTAAGGTTTTTCTTTATATAATAAATATTAGATTAAATAATTGGGCAGAAGATAATAATTTATTTCATCAGGAAAAAGCAGGTTTCAGGAAGGGTCATCGGGCCATGGATAATGTTTTTATTTTAAACACAATAATTCATAAATATTTATCAAAAAAACGGGGAAGAGTATATGTTGCCTTTATTGATTTAAAAAGAGCCTTTGATTCAATTGATCATCAGTTTCTTATATTTAAATTAAAGAAAGAAGGTTTAAAACAAAATATACTTAACATTATTATTTCAATGTATGACAAACTTTCTGCCCATGTAAAAGTTGGAAGTATTATCAGTAATCAATTCAGATGTTTAATTGGTATTCAATAAGGGTCACCTCTATCCTCTTTTCTTTTTAATTTATTTATTAAATATTTAAGTAAAATATTAAATACATCGGAACGTACACATAAAATTCAAATTGGCGATTTTCTCATTAAACATTTACTTTATGCAGACGACCTTGTTCTTATGAATGACACTGTTTTTGGTTTGCAATCTTCTTTAAACAAATTGGCTGTCTATTGTGATAAATGGGGTCTTACTGTTGATATTGAAAAAAGTAATGTTGTCGTTTATAAAAATGGGGGAAAATTTTTAAAAATAGAAAAATTTTATTATAAAGATGTTTTATTACAAGTAGTTAAATCTTACAATTATCTTGGTGTAGTGTTTAATTCAAATGGCACATGGACGAATGCAATTAGTTATAACTGTACAAAAGCAAACAAAGCTATTTTTACTTTAAAACGATTAATTCATAACCGATTTGGCAACATTTGTGGAACAAAATGTTTGATGTAAAAATAGTACCAATATTAATGTATAGCAGTGAGATCTGGGGAATCAATGACATACCAATTATTGAAAAATTTCACTGTAGGTTTTGCAGATTTATTTTAGGAATAGGCAGCACAGCTCCAACTATTGCAGTTATGGGTGAATGCAGGAGATTTTCACTTTTAATTAA